ACATTCCTCCACTGATTTCCATTGACAGTCTAAACAGAGAGTGAGTTATAGGTGTGCACCAGACAACGCCTGTTGTATAGATGTGTCATGGCATTAGCAGTTCAAACCGGAGACGTGATGTAAGGAATACATATTTATTGTTACACGTCATATGAATGAAATGATTGCCATGATAATACAAAAGGAGAATGTAATGGTGTTTGGCGATTAGGCCCCGGTTTGCAGGATAATCATTCAGGAGGGAAAGAACCGCTCCGATGAAATCCCCGAGGTCTAGACACTGGTGGTGGTGATAAGTAGGTGGGACTGGTCTGAAGAAGGAAGTTTAGCTTTGTCCTGGAGGAGACGGGAGGCGAGAGGGGTGGAGGCGGGTTGTGTGTAGTCACCTGAAATGACAACTGACAGGGAGGAAGAGCAGGCATTTAAGGAATTTAGCCTGTGCAGCAATTGGCTGCTGAGGGGTGACGCCCTCGTATTTAATGAGGGGGGGAAGGGAGCAATAGAGTGACTCATGTTAGGTCTTCCTTATTGAACTTGCGCTAAAGCTTTCATTTGTCTTCACACTATGTCAATTCTTGCTTTTGTCATTTTTAATTTTTTAATTTCTTCTGTAAATGTATTTTCATTTGATATATTAAGCGTTTTTACCTTATACTAATACGATTGTGGAGACTCATTGGACACAGTGATGAACTGTAAATCAGGGTGTTTCCATGGAGGAAAAAAGCATCCACCAAGTGAGGTCAGTTCTCTCTCTGTGACCCAGTTTCTGACATTTGAGGCAGAAAAACCCAAAACTGTTGTCCTGCCATCCCCCAGTATCAACATGATCCTCGCCTTGAATATATTCAGACCTCTTGTTATAATTTATAAAAAAATATTCATTGCTGTTATTTTTCTAAGACCAACACACAGACACCAACGTACTCCTCTCACAGGCAACACGAATTAATCAGAGGTTTTTAATAAGCAATTAAACAAAATCTGATTATTTATTATTATGTTAAGAAACTCAGTCAACACAGTATTACATGTTAACTGGTAAATGGAAAAATTTCACTTCAATTTCACTTCGAAAAAGTCACAAAATCATATAAGGATTGAAGAAACAAAGAATTAATTTTCTAGAAAATACTTTTTGTAACTTTTATGCAATAAATGCTGCATGTAGATTAAAAAGAAATACTTCAAAAATAAAATCTACACATAGTGAGACAAATCTACAGTGGTTTAAATATCCTCCAAAAGCCATTTGGGTAAACTTCATTGGAACCCGAGAGAAAGGGAAAAGTGTTTTGGAAATGTTCAGGAAACAATTGAAGACCTCTTCTTTAATGTGAGTTCTCCCGATCCGTCATCTTGAGACATTTACAACACTTCCCTTAGTCTTTAAAAAGTAACTGATCATATCTACCAATTTCCACATTGGCATGATTATCATTATTGTGGCAATATGGGACTGAAATTGAACCTGCATGCGTTAATGCCAAGGAGACATGATTCAAAAAATGATTACAATACTGAAAAAAATAAAGCAAGGTAAAACAAGCACTGTCTCTCAGACACAAATAATATTTGTTTACACTAAAGGACCACACCACCGATAATCTGAGCTAAATCAAACGTTGTTCACAAGACAGAGCAGACCAATGAGAAGCTGCAAGGCTCAGTATCTAACTCCTGGTTGGACCATGAAACCAGCAGGAACACTCATGACTGGAGGAGGCTGCATGTTGACAATGACCACATTGTTTTTCTTGCGAAACTTTAACTCCCGATGCATCTGGCACCAGGAGCACCACTCACAGAAACAGGAACTCGCGATGTCGTTACAAAGGGAACCCTGTGGAGAACCAGAGTACTGATAAGGCCCTTTTTTTTATAAATGTGTTCTTGTTATTCTTTAAAGTCTTACATTATCTACAATGAAAAAACTAAAACGTTGATTTTAATAAAAAGGATTATGTCAACAGATTTCACATAACTGTATTAGGTTAGTTGAAAGCAATAATATTAAGTTTTACAAATTATTTTATTTTAATCTGAAATGATTAGGTTCGATTGATGTTATTGCTTTTAACTAACCTATTACAGTTATGTGAAATCTGTTGACATGATACATTTAATTTAAGTCATCGTTTCAGTTGTTTCAGTGTAGTTGTTCCAATTATGTTTTAATATGTGAACAGAGAACATGACAAACATGTTTTCTTGAACCTCAGGAATGTAGGCTATATCATTATTCATGCTTAATTCAAGTGTATACATAATCATACAGGCTACATTTTCTGTCGATGTTTACCTTGATACCGTATCTGTGTCGAATGCCGACCCGTAGAGCCAGCGCTGCAGGAGGCACACACAGCGGCAGGCCGCAGGCCGCTGTGATAGCGGGGGTGAGCATGTCACATAATGGGAGACAACGGTTCTCTCCAAACCTCCCTGAAACTGTGCAGGCCAGACAAGGGCAACACAAGAAGCCATAGCAACCTGAAAAACAAGCAGTTTTAATAGATAGTAATATCAAGTGTAACGGGTCTATTAGATTAAAGAATAAAACACAAATTAGTAACACAATGAAGCCTTTTACAAATGAATCTGACAGTAATTTGAATGAATAGGATTGAAGGTTGTGGTGTTGATTCTTACAGGTGCTGGTGTCCTCACAACAGTCAAAGAGGCCTGTGTTCCAGTCTGTCAAAGGGTATGCCATTGGCTCTGTAACTTCACCACAGCTGGATAGAAATGAACCTGTCAACACACACAAAGTTGGTTTAGCAAGAACATCTATTAAATCATTTAAAAGTTACACATATGAGAAATGTAATATACATATTTAATCCTTAAAGAATCTGGATTTCATAGAAGATAAGAACCAGGACATTTCTCGACAATTATTCTATATCTTTTGTGTGAAAAAGTCTTAAAAAAAGAAGCAACAGGATGAGTCGTGGTGTAGTAGGCTATTCACTTGTTAAGGTTAGGAGAATATTTCTTTCAGTTTGGGCATAATGTTTTTTAGATGGCTAAGTGAAGCCGATGCACACAAATGTACAAAATGACTCGCAGCCGGTATTGAGGTCCTAAATATTATAATCATAGAAACACCGGTTTATGTTCATTTAATATCAGCAACAACTTATTAGAGTATGATCATCATCAGATGCCACTGCGTATGGTTGGACTAATTCAGCCTTGATTTCTGTGTGTAGTCAGTAGAATGAACATCCTCCATAGTTCATCAAAAATATATAATAAATTGATCATCTAAAGCCAATGTAGTTATTGAGAACATGGAGGAAGTTGCAGTGACAGGGAAAGGTCTCTTCACATTGCTTCAGATAGGCTAGTGTACACAGCACTCCTCATGGTATGTGAGCTTGAGTCTTTGAGGCCTGGGCAGCACTGATGTGAGAGTGCTGCTGTTACCGAGTGAATGACCGCAGTTTGCCTTTTAAATAGCCATGGACCCAGGAGGAGCCACCATGATACAAACACAGATGATTTCCATGTATTTATGGAAATGTAATACGAGCAGATCCTTTTTTTTGTTGTATTTCAGTTATTCTTTCATTAAATTTAAGTAGCTGTGAATTTGATCTATATATGGTCCAGTAGTAACTTGTAGTATTCAGAAAAAAACGTTTCTTTGTTTTTGTGATAAGGTTACAATGACTTGCGAATATGATGCATGTGGCTATGTTAAAAATACAATTATAATAAACACTTTTTGTCCCTCCTTTACCTCCTCTTCACTGGATCATGAAAGCTGCCAAATTTGAGAATCAGCTTTCATTTTACTTTTAAAATAAGTTTAATTTCTTGACAGCAACATTTAAAAATCTCACCTGATTAAGCTGAAAGCCTTGTTGTCACGTCCAATTGCAGGGGGAATATGCCTTGTATGAGGAGCGGCACCTCATGCATTGGGCAAGTAAACCAAAACAATGCTGCAGAACCTGCCTGAACCCAAAAGCAAGGGAAGGTAGAAACAGTATCCACAGCATTGTGCCATTTTTATGTTAACACAGGTGTGGCAAACCAGTCAGACACGGTCATTGCAAAGGATTGTGAAAGTTTTTAAGGATGGTGAAAATAAATGCACGGTTGTCATGGCTAACTGTTTCTTACCTTACCTCTGTGTTTGACTCTGTTGGGATCCACCTCATGTGTTTCGTAGTGAACTTATAAGCTGAGGTTGAAACCTTTGTGTTTTAAGTAAAACCTATTTGACGATAAGACATTTCTCCTTGGTTAAGTTTTCCAAAAGAAAATGTGCATTATAATTGATTCATCCTAGTAGAGGTTCCACATAAGTAGAGGTTCCACATAACATAGCTTAACATGTCCTATTATATCACTATATCACTTTTTTGTAGTTTCAAGCTTTAAATGAACATGACATCAGAAATCTGTTTTTACAGGTGTCATACGGTTTTTCTATATTTCTGTCTCACGATAATTTAGAGAGGATGCAGGAGGGGCAAACTGTAGTATCCCAGCAAAAAAGTCGTTTTCTTTAGTTTTTAAAATCAAGGAGATATGTTGTGCCTGGCATGAATGTAACGAACAAATGTAAATCAATAACATATTGCTTGCTACCATAAAAGCCAAGTTGTCTCTTACACAATAACATCTCCAGCCATGATTCTAATATAGTTGAGATTCATTTGTATGATTTATTACAGGGAGTTTCCTTACAGCTATCTTTTGTTACAATGAAATGTGAGTGGAGTAAATAAATAAAGTGCACAGGTAACTAAGCTCTCTCTATATTTGTTTTTGTGTTGACAGGAAGACATGCCATCATGAATACCTCATCAGGCTGGAAGCTGTTTCCACAGTTGCGGCTGAGATCTGGAACTGCAATGGCCAAACAATATCCACACTATCCACACTTCCAAACAGTCAGTGTCCCCCGGTGCCCTGTATTCATTTATTCCAGTGTTTATGTAATGTATTCGTCTGTAGATAAAGAACATAGATAACATAACGAGTGCTTAAAAATGAGTCTTTTATTAATAGCCAGATACATCGTAGTGTTGTATACTACCCTCTTCTGGTAATCAGTGATAACACATTGAAATATAACACTGTTTTAGACATGATTTAAGTATTACTAAGCAGCAATAAAACGTCCAAATGATCATTTACATAGCCAAGATGGAAGGGCTAAAAGGGCATCCTGACCACAGTCATTTCTTTATTAATACACCAAACTATTATTTCTTAAATTCATCAATGCTCTCAAAAGGGGGCATCTAATTTAATATGAAAAAAACATGTTTCCACCTAGAAGTAACCCTAAAAAGCAAAGTCCTTTTCAGTTTAACACTCCAACTGTATTAAGCTTGTAGGTCCAACCTTGCCAAAAGGCTCTTCTAAAAATCTTAATAATGGAAGAATCACAAAAAAAATATATATACTGTTGCTGTATACGGTTCATTTTAATCTGTGAAATGCTGTAAAGAAGGTTTTTTTACTGCATGTCAGCTCATATGCTTGTATGTCACAATTTAGCTTCATGTATAGGAGTAAGACCGAGCCACTAGTCTCTTCTTCACCAGTTGTTTAGGCACCACTATTTCCAGCAGCCTCCTCACTAGGTCCAGTCTGCCTGTCCTGATCAGAGAGCGGGATAGCTCTGTGACCTCCTCTGTGTGAGTCCTGTAGAGGCACCTGAGCTCGGATTTTACAACGTCCTTAGGGTACTTCTCCTCTGCCTTTTGCACCCACAGCTCCAGTTGGGCGATGGCGAGGGTTGGGTCAGGGCCTCCCAGCATGAACAGAGTGAGGAGAGCCTGCAGGAGGCAGCGCAGGGCCGTGGTGTCCGTGCTGCCCGGCCTCTCCAGCTCCACAGCCAGTTTGAAGCAGTCTGCAGCGTTCTGCTCCTCGCCCTTCAGCAGGAGGCAGCGTCCTCTGAGCACGTGCAGGTCCGGCAGGCTGTCCCCCAGCTCAAACTGAAGGGCATGGGACAGACTCACCAACGCACTGTTCACTGCGCCCTCATCTACCAAAAGGCTCTCCTGAAGGGCATCTACACCCATGTAGTAGTACACCTAAAAAGAAAAGACATGAATTATGTTTGTATTTAATCTATATTTAGAAATCTATCTTTATTGCTCATTATTAGTTTGTGTCTTTACCTGTGCCATCTCCAGGTGAGTCCGCAGACACGGACGTACAGTCAGGACCTTGTCCAAATCTTTTCTGGCCTCAACTAGTTTCTGTCGGTCTGGAATTCCACCTTGAGCATATTTTGCCTTCTCCAGGTCCCTGACATAAAGCATCACATTGATCTAAAGAAAAAATAAATAACTTTGAATAAATAAGGGAATATAAATACTCAGGCTGCACAATATACATTTGTTAAACTGTCATCGTGATGTCAGCTTGAGCAATGAAAACTTCTCGAAAGACTGATATTGCTTGTGTTTTTGTGATGATGCATTTTGCATTCAGGGATTTCTTGAGTGATTTGAATGTAGGGCAAGTTGGTCGAAATCAACTACGATTTTCTACTTGCATAATCAGTAATTGTATATGCATGATTCTTTGAGGAGACATTTTATAGATTAAAACAACTGAACTTTCAGTCGACGAAGAAGTTCAGGACAATCGTAACAGAGTATCAGTAGTAAACCGCACTTCAAACTGTAATAACAATAATGTTTTTGTACTTTTTTTCTTCAGTTCAATGCTCAATTTGTTCGCAAAATGAATTATTTTGAAATAATATATTGAACTAACAATTTGTTGTATTTTAGTTGTATTCTGAAACGAGCGGAACTGAGTACATTTAATTTAGTCATATTGTATTTATTATTCAACAATGGCATCGCCCATTGCCACTGTGTTTCTCATCTGAACAGCCCTATTGAATACATACTGCACCATGCACAAATGACAACACCAGTGATTAACATCAGGAATTGGGATTTCTGTGCATCTTTCAGACAAATTAATGCAAATTTTCTTGCATTAAAAGGGATTTCACGTTGTAGGTTTTGCCAGCTTGGTTTCAGGATGCGTTGCCGGGCGGCAGTACCTTAGCACGGGTGCAGTAGGCCTGCCAGTTGAGCTCTGGGTCTGGGAGCACGTTCAGGGCCATGTTGCAGATCCCTGTGGCCATCTCATGTTTGCCCAGCAGCAAGAAGACCTTTGCCAGAAGGTTCAGGGTGAATGCATCCTCACTGGCCAAGTTTATGGCCTAAAGGACAAAGACAAGTATGTTACGATGAATATATACAAATATTATCACTTGACATCATTATTGAATCAGGTTTTCCTGTAAGTTTATCTATTTCTATTTGAAACAGGGTTTTGGTCGGCATAAACGCATAGACACAGCAAAGGTGGATTAATATGTGTTCAACAGGAAGTCACTTTTACAAGGGGCTTTGTCAATTCAATTTAAACTCAAATAGCTTTATTAGCATGAGCATAATGTACATACAGTATTGCCAAAGCTCTGTACAATTGCAAAATCCATACACAAATATACATTTGAAACAAACTGCTAAACTGCTTTTTCTATTACTGGAAGAAACTGTATAATGTATAATATATTGAGTGATAATGTCAGGTTGATTTTAGTCAAATGATTATCATACTGTATAGGAGTCCCTTATATTCTCCAAGCTTGCCTGATATTTGGTGAAATATCTCAATGTGTGAGTTAACTTACAGTTCCATAGCAGGATAGAGGATCAGAGGCAGAGTAGCCACAGTCATGTATGGACATGGGAACAGTGGTGAACTCTTCCTTCCTCTCCAACATGATGCCAACATAACACCAGGCAAGAGCTGAGGGGAGATACCAAAATCAGACTGTATACCAGTTTCTGACAAAACCAACCATGTGTTGTTTGTCTCCCTCTAGATCAGGAGTGGGGAACCTCCGGCCCCAGGGCCGCATACGGCCCGCGAGACCATTTGGTACGGCCCTCGAGGTAATTTATAAACACACGCAAAAAAGAAAAAAATGAAAGAAAACTAGACCGCAAAAAAGTTAAACAAGCGAGTGTCTGTTTTTCCTTCCTTGAACACAACACGAGCCTAACGTGTCATCACGTGGTATATGTCTCGTCTGACAGGGGTGTAGCATGGATGTATAATAAGAACTGGATACAGCGTGGGAGGCGGGGCCTCATTAATTCCTATGAGAGCTGCTCATTAGCGCATGATGATAAAATGGCCCAACTTTTGAGAGAGTGAAACGTCACAGATTACCCAGCATGCCTGAGAAGTACCCGTATGTGCACTCATAGAGCATGCGCAACTTTAACCAAAATGCTCGTTCACATCAAGCACGTCAATTTGCGTACACGTAACAGCACCGCACGTTCATGACAGCATGGTAATGGATGTTGTTATCATGGATTGGATATGAACGAGGCAGCAGTTAGCAGCTAGCGGCTAGCTAGTAATGATGCTAATGTACACATCAATCGTTATGTACTTATATTACGCTGTAACAGGATCTAGTGATATCCAACAGAGCTTCATTTAGCATGAAATTATTATTGCACTGTATATATATATATTTATATACAGTGCAATAAGCTTCTTAGTGCAATACGAAGCTACAGGGACGTTAATAATGTCGGTAATATCAACTTTATTTAATACAACATTTATGGTACAAGATTTAATCATACAGCCCATGTAGTATGATAATGAATTACAGCAAACATGTGCAATATATCCAATATTACAGCTCCGTGGGATGGCAGTAAGACGATATGGATCCGTTCTTATTGTGCATCCATGGGTAAAGATAAACGCAACTCACATTGGTTTCTCATACAGCATCTCTGTAAACTACGTGTATTCACTGAATTTCACTCTCTGCCTTTAACGGCTCGTTGTAGCTCCAATAGCTCCAGCCCCACCCTCCCTGTGAGCACAGTGTGCTCTGATTGGTCGGGACACGTAACATGAACGTGCCGGGCGGCGCGGTCCCGTGGGTTAGATGCGCGTTCATAATGCAGAGGGAAATAACTCTCAGAATAACGTTATTAGCAAATGTTTACAACTTGAGGAACGAATGTTTTTAATAAGGGCTATACAAGTGTTCATACTGGGTAGTTTATTTAGTTTAAAAAAAATTATCCAACGAGTTACAGACCACTCTTTCCCCATGTAAGTCAATGGGAAAAAGTGTTTCCGGGCCTGGCAACCAAACGGAAGTGTAGTACCGCCGTTTGGCCAGCACGAATATTTTCATCTGAGTCCGGCGCACTTCCTGGGGGCTTGGGGTGTAGTCATCGGCGGCGCGTGAGTCTCAGGTTTGGGAAGGCTAAATAACTTTTTTTTTATCTGACGCTGCCCGCCTCTATAGAAAAGAGATCAACTCAGTGAAAGCACCGCCTGCTGACCGATCAGAGCTCAGTGTGCGGAGTTTAAATCTATCAAGTCATATTACAGGATAAAGGAAATACAGTTTAAACTGCCGTATACGCAGAGAAGACGCCGACGTGTCGCACAAGTTTATCATTCATATCACACTGATATCACATCATCAATCAGATCATCGATCATATAATATCACAATATTTCCTTATCTGAGTCAGCTTCTCGAGCCGTATCTGGCCGTGCAACACTTACATTGTCACATATACTGTATGCAGACGTATTATTTTAAGCAACACATTAAGTTGACGAAACACTCAACTCAAATGTAATTAAAGTCAGATCCACTCGTGTCTTAGATGGGGCAGTATCATACAACTGTTTTCAAACACTCGGTAATTTATTTTTCAACGAGTTGTTCTGTATTCTCCTTGCAGGTGCAACTATGTGGCTCGTATCCTGGATTATATGTTTAAGTCATGGATGTTTAAAGTTAATATTTGTCTAATATTAGTTTACTTTTCATTAATGAAGTATGACGCTGCGCTGTCAGTACACTTGTCCCTGTTTGTGATTGGTCAAATGTAGCTAACCCCACCCCTTTCACGTGAACTAGCATCTCTTCCGCTGCAACAACAACTACGCGACGACAACAGAGACCGTGGAGACAGCGGAGACCAAGGAATAAACGGAGACTTCGAGATTCCCCTGGGTGTTATGGAAATAATTATCATAGACGCCAATTTGTAACATACAGGACAAACCTTGATGTCTGTTTACCTTCTTTAAGGACACAGGCGGCTTAGCCAATAATGTTATTGTTCCCATTCTGTGACCGGTCAATACTGGGATACAGATGGTCTGTGTTGTGGGTACACTGGGACACTTCCTTCTCTGTATTTGTGGACTCCAAGGTAAAATCTTCGAGGTCATAAGTGTCCGACGCAAGTAGCTCAGTGTTCCCACACTGTTTAGGCTATCTTCTCAAATATGTTGTTTACTCTCTGCGAAACCAGTTAGATGGGCTGGCAAGAGAGAGGCTCTCCAGAATTGACGTGGCAACTCTACCGTGGAGTCAGAACCTCTGACTCTTGGATTTGTGATGTGAATACTCTGGTACCAACTCCAAATAAATCACAGTGGTTTGACATCAAAGCTCCGACTCTTCCCGTGTCTCCTTCCTGAGTCGGTGACTCCATTGCATGCTACACAGAAGTTTCCTCTACACCGGGGACGCCTCGGCAGACAGTGACGAGAGGAAGAGAACCGAGATCCGAGGGAACAAATATCCACCATGTTGTTAGCCACCCTGCTAGCATATCAACGGCTAAAGCTACAACGGAGCCTCCCTCCCTCCCCCCACCACCACCACCACCCCCACCCCCACCCCCACCCCACACCACCACCCCACCACGACAAGCCGGTTGCTGTAACGGACAAAGACAAATATCTGCAAGCTGACGACATTGTGCATTTAAGCAACAAAAATGGACTACATATTTTTCATCTGAACACTAACAGCCTGAGACACAAACTGGCTGAACTCAGGCAGCTATTCATGAACGGTAAGGCAAGCATATTATGCTTTTCTGAGACCAAATTGGACAATTCCATTACAGATTCAGAGATTGAAATTGAAGATTATCTTGTAGTGAGAAGGGACAGGAACGTGAATGGAGGTGGTGTCTGCATGTACATACTCAAAGACACCAATTTCAAAAACCGTACTGATCTGCATCATGAAAATATTGAATCTGTGTGGGTTGAAATTCTTTTTGACAATGCTAAATCTGTAATAGTCGGGACAATCTATAGACCACCGGAACAGAGTGACTTTTATGATACATTAGATGGGTGTTTGGCTGATGTGGGGGATGGAGAGACAATTATTATTGGAGACTGGAACACGGATATGCAACGTAAAGACACGTCCGTCTTCAAGTCCTTCAGTAGGATTTGTGATCTGCACGGCTTCAGCCAGCTAATCACCCAACCCACCCGGGTATGTGAAACAACACAAACTACCATTGATCTCATTCTGACCTCTGACAAGTCCAGGATCTCCAGTAAAGGGGTTATAGCATGCGGTTTAAGTGATCATTATATGATATTCTGTACCCGCAAAAAGCTAAAACAAAGGGCCGGCTGTCACAAAACAGTCATATCTAGAGACCTCAAAAACTACTCTAGCGAGGCCTTTAACCTAGAACTGGAGAGCCTGGACTGGTCAGATGAGCTCAGTGGTACACAAGTTGAAGAAACATGGCTTGGTTTCAAAAACAAATTCTCTGCAATACTCAATGATTTGGCCCCCCTAAGAACAACCAGGGTAAAAAATCGCGCTGAGCTGTGGATGCACTCCGGCATACTGACCGCCATGAAAACCAGAGACAAAAAATGCTCTGAGTTTCATAAAAGTCAGTCAATGCTTTCCAAAAGCACGAGCAGTGAACTCCAGGCCCACGTGACTGAACTAAAAATTGAAAGAAACAGACTAAGAAATGACGTAAGCTCCATGATCAAAACTGCCAAAAAGAATTTCATCAATGTCAAAACTGAGGAAAACAAAAAGAAACCCCGTGAACTTTGGAAATTACTCAATAACCAGCTTGGCTGCGGTAAAAAACTCAAAACGAGATTTTCTATCTTAAACATAAAGACAGATAACAGGCTCATCACAGACAAACTGGATGTGGCCAAGTACTTGACAATTTTTTTCACAAACATAGCCACAACTCTTGTAAATAAATTACCTTCCCACTCAGGGCTTTTTGGAGTAGATCACATCATGACCTACTACAAAAACCTAGGGGTACGCAAAGATGATTTCAGTCTAGCAAGGGTAACAACAGCAGAGGTACTCATTAAACTGAGCGCCCTCCAACCTAACAAGGCCACTGGCCACGACAATATCCCCTCCAAATTCCTCAGAGACACAGCAACCGCCATCTCACCAGTCATAGCTCACATAATTAACCTCTCCATAAAACAGGGAAAAGTACCCAAAGACTTCAAAATTGCAAGAGTAACCCCCCTGCACAAAAAGGGCAGCAAATTGGACCCAGGCAACTACCGCCCTGTTTCTATACTTACCTCCATCTCGAAAGTCATGGAAAAAATAGTATATGAACAGGTCGAAAAGTACCTCGCGGAAAAGAAACTAATCTATGAATTTCAATCTGGCTTTAGAACATCCCACTCCACTGACACATGCCTTCTTTATTTGAGCGACCACATCAAACAAGAGGTGGACGAGGGCAAGTACTGCGGCATGGTGATGCTGGACCTACAAAAGGCTTTCGACACTGTCAATCACCCCATTCTGATTGACAAGCTAAAAGCAATTGGTTTTGATAAACTATCGGTGAGCTGGATGCAATCCTACCTGGAGGGGAGAGAACAGATGGTGGAGGTAAACGGTACTCTGTCCCCCCCCCTCCCAGTGAGCTGTGGTGTTCCACAAGGAAGCATATTAGGTCCGTTACTGTTCCTAATTTATGTAAATGACATGTCATCAGCATGTGACTGCAACTTGTTCCTGTTCGCGGACGACTCAGCCCTGCTGGTCTCTGACAGGAACAGGTGCAGGTTGAAAAAACCCTCAGCTCCGAGCTCGGCAGAATCTGCACCTGGCTCGCCGATAATAAATTATCATTACACTTGGGTAAAACAGAGTCCATTCTCTTCGGTTCGAAACATAATCTCAGCAAATCCGACGACTTCTCAGTTGCAGTGGGCGACATTATTGTCACAAGTAAGAAGGAAATTACATACCTAGGATCTATTCTTGAGGCAAACCTCTCCTGTGACAAAATGGCAATGTAATAAAAAAAGTCAATCAAAGAACTAGATTCCTATACCGGATCTCCTCTCTGGTAAACAAAAACACCCTGAAAACTCTGGCAGGAGCACTCATTCAAGGGTACTATGACTATGCTTGCACGTCATGGTACCATAGCACCTCCAAGGCGCTAAAAATAAAACTTCAAACATCGCAAAATAAACTGGTCAGACTACTGCTTGACCTTTCATCTAGAACCCACCTCACCTCTGCCCACTTTGACAACCTAGGATGGCTTAGAGTAGACGACAGAGTACAGCTACTTGCAATGGGCCTGGTCTACAAGATCCACTACACCTCTATGGTACCCATGTACATGTCAAAATTCTTCCCAAAGGTCAAGGAATACCATGATCATAACACCAGAGGGAGCTCCACAAATCATGTGAAACCCAGATTGGGCACAAAAAAGGGGGAATACACGTTTCGCAATTATGCCACATCAAGGTGGAACGCTCTTCCCACAATTGTAAAGGAAAGTAAAACTATACTTACCTTCAAAACCTCTCTTAAAGAGCACCTTCGGGGGAGAGCATTGCAAAACTGGCCCCGGTAATGGTACAAATCTCAACCTGTCGTTCAATGGACAGCTTCCCCCCCCCCCCATCTATGTATATACTCGCATTTTAGACTCTGTTACTAACTGTATATCTGTAGACTTGGTATGTCTTAAATGTCCGGTTAGGATGTATTAGAACGAAATCTAAAATGAAAATTGTAAACAAGCAATCTGTATGTAAAAAAACCACCTGTATGTAAATTGTAAATAAGCCATCTGTATGTCAAATATGTCTTATATGTCTTAAATGACATGATGAATTGGAAATGGGGGACCCTGATGTAAACAAGACGAAAGTCTTTCTCTGGTCTGCATCCCCTTAACAATTGTATGTTTTGAGCTGTACTGTACTGTACCCAATATACAAGCTGTTAATAAACTTTTCAATCAATCAATCAAAACGCGTTCTCAGCTGGAGAGAGAAACCCTGGCTTGATTTACCGAGTTGATAACCAGCTTCGTGGACCACTTAGCGAAATCTCGTTTGTTAGGGTTAGTTAAGATAACTCAAACATATCCAGGGTCTGTTGAACTGGCTTCGTACAGGGCACAGGTGGCTGCATAGCAGCGCTAATGTCAAAGACACACACATTATACATTATATTTTTATTTTACCAGGATGCAGTTACACAATTATTTGGGAAGGCTTAGCCTTCCCTAGCCTACAGCACCCGCCGCCCCTGGGTGTAGTGCTGACGGAGAGCACCAGAACGCCGCTCCGGCACTTCCAAAAATTGCAGTAGGCTACCCATAAGGAGCCGTACACATGCCGCAGTTTTTGCGTGTCTGTGTCTTTAGTTGAAAGCCCAGTGGCGATCTGTTCATGACTGTCATCCTGATCATACAGTCAATAACTTTGTTGTTATTAGCATCTGGTTAGCTAGCTATGCTAACGAATATAAGAAGCTTTTTCTCCAACCAGTGAGGTAAAGGCACATGATCATTATTATAAAAAAATAAGATAATAAAGTAAACGGGTATAAAATACTATATGACAGTAAAAAAAGTTGTTATTAATAAACAAGAATACAGTTTGAAAGGGGAGTGATTTGTAAAATGTCCATAAAGAAAAAGTAAATCTGTTTACAGTTCTGTTTCATATAGGTGTTGAGAGATGTATCCATAGAGCTCCTAATGTTGCTCTCAAAGTGCACCAGATTGATGCTTTTAACTTCAATATTAAAAAAAAAATCTTCCCGGGGGAGTATGCCCTCCGGACCCCCCTAGAGGAGATTAGGTCCCCCCCCCACTTAAATCATGTCCACATGGATAGGAAACTAAATACATTTACACACATCTTGTGTCCATATCTTTCTGTTTTGGTGTTCATGCCACAACCGTGCACGTGCATGCATCATCATGGTAAAATATCTGGATTAAGAGGTTGCTTTTTCTTTGCACAGCATGAAAGAAAGGCCAAATGAATGGGCTGTGATTTTAGTTTTTTTAAGCAGAGGTCAATAATTTGTACGGCCCTCGGAGGATGTTGAAAAAATTGAAATGGCCCTTGAGAGGAAAAAGGTTCCCCACCCCTGCTCTAGATTAAAGAAATTGCTACTACTGTATGTTACAACATCTCAAATACAGTTTTTGTTATTACTAAAACACTACAATAGTTGAGGTTCCATTGTATGGATTTCAATGTAAGGTTTGAACTAAAGTAGGCCCATATATTTGCAGCATGTAAATACGTCAGCACAGCTTCACTTCACGTTCAACTTCACGCCTCTAAATGTGCAAAACAGCAGATATGCTCAGATAAACCTGATGTGTTTACCTTTGTGTTGCGATTTGTCTGAATCTAATGTTTCTTTGAGAAGCTTCAGACCCTTATTGTAGTGAGAGAGTCTGGAGTATTCAGAGTCCGCCTTGGTCTTTACTATGTCGTCAAGCCTGCGGGGAGAAAGTTACTTAATAAAAATGACACATGATGTGATGTGGTGGTTCATCATATGTTTTCGTTTTGTACCTTATGTAGATAGTGGCCATTTTAAAATACCAGCTTCTTTTTTCCTCTACTGATATCTGAAAAACAACAATACATACAAGTATTTAGTACCTTATACAATTATATTTATTTTACAGGAATACATATTTGCATTGGTTTTATTGCTATTCCACCTTAAAGGTAGGGTAGGTAATTAACTTCAGAAACACTTTTTGTTATATTCCATGGAATGCTCTTAACGTCCAATAGCAATGAATACATTAAATGCTTTGGCAATAAATACATAAAAAATGTAATCTGTGGAAGCCGTAGTACTGTAAAAAGCACGACCAATCATCTGAGCCGGCCCGGCTAAAATAACTGGATGGCCTACCTGCCTGTCAGCCTTCCATCTGTGCACAAACTTATCTCGTGCCCTCATTGGTCATGAGCACGTTCGTGTGTGTTGGAGGAGGGGCTCTGTAAGGAAGTCTGAAGGAAGGGGCCGATTTTTTCCGGTTTGTACTTTCAAATTCGAGCTGGTTACTCCATTCTTACCTACCCTACCTTTAATAAAGAGCGTTTTGCTTTGATCGTGAAAAGTAGTAAGCTGTGGACAAGTGTTCTGAAGACTAAGAAATGTGAATATTATTTGTATATCAGTTGTTGTGAACCAAGTTACATATTTATAAATCTTCTGAGCATAGCCCAATCCTTAAACTTCCGTAAAAGATGGTGGATCAATTGAATCATAGACGAGAAGTATATTTAATGATATTAAAGGATCATCAACATAAATACCAACCAATTAAATGATAGAATGTTTGGAGACATTGCATGATGGATGTAGGGTAATAGTTTCAATGCTCCTGCTTACATTTCAATTATACAGAAAAATATTGCATGTGAATCTCACCAGATGACCCCCATAGTGCAGGGCTCTGTTGTAAAGCGTCAATGCTGCTGTCAGTCTGTCTCTCAGGTCCTCTTCACTGTCCAGCTCCACATCGTAGGGATAAACGTAAGCCTGCTCCGCCAGGCATCGAGCCGCCAGGATCCTGGTCTCCTCCTGAGAGGCCTCTCCAGCGTCTAAGTCCATGAGGTGGGACACTTTCTCCACACACTCGCTCGCATCCAGCTCTCTCCCAAGCTTGTCATAAACGTAGCCCAGATTGGCCCAGGCATTGAGGTTACCAGGGTCTTCTTTACAAATACTCCTGAAAGACCAAGAGACAGAGATATAGACAGAAACAGAGAGGTTAGAATAAACTTCTTCCATAAAAGGGTCTTCAATATTGAAAGTGATTTATAAGTGAACTATTTTATGCTCCTATTTTGACAAAAATCCAATTATTGAAAAGACCTTCATGGTCCTCAGAAGATGAATAATACTGGTGATGTCTTGACCTTTTATGTAACGCATCAATCCGTTTGACATTTTAAAATAATTGTAATATTCTGACAACAATCAGATGGATTTCCATGAAATTTGGGAACATTCATGTTAGCCAGAGAATGAATTGTGATAACTTCGGTTGATTTTTCGTCTTTCATCTCATGTCATCATAAGGTTAAAATTATAATGAATACCACAAGTTTATATGCCTCCGCCAACTAGTCAAGTTGCAGTTCTCATTCATAACACTCAGTTCGATGTCTCACTATGGTATGCGCCTCATCGCGGAGCAAACAGAAGCATCAATCTCATTACGCCAATCCTGATTGGCTGGAGATCTTGACGTCAGCGTCAGGGAATTCACCCCCTATAAGTAGCTTGCGCCACGACGCATGCGTCATTCAAACACCTCTTCTCGCTTCAGAGCACATCTCTATAGTAGCCGGACAAGCTTAACGGTCCACAGACTGAACCCAAATATAACCATTTCGGTCGACGGGCGCTCGCCGGCTACTCCTTCTGCTTTGCAGGAAGACGGTAATACTAACGCCAGTTAGTATTGAAATCGACCTCGCCGTTCTCTTTCCCTGGAAAGTAAGGTAGGTCTGATTTTTTCAAGCTAGCAACACACCTGTTGCTAGCTCGCTCCCTCACTATCGACACCACGGTAGCGAGGAAGCTTTTTTCTTTTCTCTTCCCCACGGAGGAGGAAAGGATTAAAGGAGCATACTGTCACACTAGTCAGTATTCTCCGGGAATAAAATACCCACACCGTCCTTTTCTCCGGATTAAGGACAGGGTGGTAACACCTTTTTTCTCCCAACTTACCTGTTGAGAGCGGGTCCTCTCCACACCACGAGGCGAACAAGATGGACGCCTCTCTCCCTCACACCAGAGGAGTCAGGGACTCGGTGGCTCGACTCTGCGGCTGCGGGTTGAATATCTCGGGCACAGACACACACCAGGTCTGCTCGTCCTGCCTCGGGCTGGAACACGCCCGAGGCGCTATCGACAACCCCGGCTCGTGCGGACATTGTGTCCGCTTCACCGTGAAGAGCCTCCGCCGACGGCTAGCACGCCAAGCTAGCCTGTCGGAGCAGGACCCCCCCCCATGTCCACTAACCTGCCGGCCGGCAGTCAAGGGGGCGTCCGCCGCAGAGAGTGAACCCCTCACCGTGTCGGTCTGGGGCTCATTATCTGCGATGGCTGCAGAACCGGAATCCCGCGCCCTGGCAGGCCGGGACCCGGTGACGGCAAGACACGCGGGAACGGGACCCCACACTTTACCGAGCTGGGGCTCCCGGTTAGACCTCACCATGGTCTCACCCGCGGAGGATGTCCTCGAGCTGGACTACGATGAGGACGAAGAGGACGCCTCGGTGTTCCTCCTGTCCGAGTCGGATGAACATGAAGAGGACATCTTCATGTCATCAGCTCAGGCTGCAAAGCCTGGAGCGAGGGCTGCTCTCCCGGGCGATAGCACACCAGCTTCACCCTGTCTGAGCATGGACCTGCAGGCCGTGTGTAAACGCGCCGCGGCCAGACTCGACATCCCGTGGCCTGAAATGGCCAAGGAGACCTCCAGGTCCCGCTACGAAGGGAAACATTTTCCCCAAGCAGCGCGGACGAAGAGGCAACTCCTTCCGGTCTTCCCAGAGATGTTGGATGAGGTGTCGGTCTCGTGGAGAGACCGGCCCTTCAGCAACAAGGTCCCAATCCAGGGTGCCTCCTCCCTAGACTGTGACGGAATGGAGAAGCTCGGCCTGCTCCGCATACCGCCCATGGAACCGCTGGTAGCGGCCCACCTCCTACCGAGGATGGGCCCGTCACCAAGCAGGAACCCCACGCTGCCAGCAAAGTCGGACCGATTTCAGTCGACAATGACTGAACGGTCCTACAAAGCCGCAGCGTTGTCCGCCAGGGCCCTGAATGTGTCCTCGCTGCTAACCGCTTACCAAGCGGAGCTCTGCGAGGACCTGTCGGGTAACCCGGGGGCAGCCACTCTGGACGAGATGGCAGCGGTCACGGACATTTGTCTCCGTATCCAACGCTGCGCCGTCCAGGCCACGGGCAAGGCAATGGGGATCATGGTGGTGCAGGAAAGAGCGAGATGGCTCAACCTCACCAACCTCCCAGACCGGGAAAAGGAGGATGTGCTGGATATGCCCATCGTTCCCGAGGGAATTTTCGGCTCCGCTCTCGCCTCCATGCAATGGAGGTGTGAGTCGAAAAAGAAGGAAGACGAGGCACTCTGCCTCCCTCGAAGGGTCCAGCCGCTGCCTTCGCAGCAGCAGTCCTTCACAGCAGCAGTCCTTCGCCCAAGCTGCCTCGAACCCTGCTCGGTTTAAAACACCGAAGACGCAGAGGTCGCAGCCCGCCCCGAGTCCCCAGCCCAGGCTGGAGACGAGGGCGAGCTGGCCTAGAAAATCTCCGGTTCCGGCTGCAGCTCAGGCGCAGCCAACCCAGAATTTCGGCCAGCAGTCGAGGAAGAAGAAGCGAGCGGCGTGACAGCCCCTCCTTCTCCCCTCTGTGACAGAGCTGGAAGTCCACGGTTCCCCAGCTCTAAATGTGTTCCCGCCGCCTCGAGAGATAACTCAACACCATCCTCAAGTCCGCACAAACAAATGTCACACATTTGTTGTTGAGAGTGATGGTTACTGTGAAATGCGTAATGGCACTGCGCCACTGGCTGCACCCGACTTTTCTAGTACGAGGTGTGCCTATGGGTGCTGTCCTTTCACGGAAAGTGGTCACCACGGACGCATGTCTGACAGGTTGGGGAGGTATTTATGAAGGTCGCCCGGTGAGGGGTCTCTGGAGCAGAGACCTCCAGCGGAGCTTTTAGCGGTGTTTCTCACCCTAAAACGCTTTCTGCCTTTCCTCAGGGGACATCACGTCCTCGTGAGGACAGACAATACGACCACAATATTGTATATTAACCGCCAAGGGGGTTTGCGTTCTCTCCAGTTACACACACTGGCGCGCAAACTGATCCTATGGAGCGGTAGACGTCTCCTCTCTCTGAGAGCGCCGCACGTACCGGGAGTGATGAACCTCGGGGCAGATCTACTGTACAGAGGTATACCACTTTATGCAGACTGGACTCTACATCCAAGGATTGTGAGCCAGCTGTGGGTGCGTTACGGCAGAGCCGCGGTGGATCTGTTCGCATCGAAAAACAACGCTCAGTGTCAGCTGTTCTTTTCGATGCGCGATCTAAATGCACCGTTAGGCGTGGATGCACTCGCGCACGATTGGCCCCCGGGCCTTCTGTACGCGTTCTCACCCCTGGCTCTGATACCCCCAACTCTGGCCAGAGTGAGAGAGCAACGCCACACACTTATCCTGATAGCTCCGCACTGACCAGCTATGTACTGGCTAGCGGAGATATATCAGCTGCTGTGCGGGCAGCCATGGCAGCTCTCACTACGCAGGGACATACTGTCCCAAGCGGGGGGGGGCGATCTTTCACCCACACCCAGAGCGCTTGGCTCTATGGGCCTGGCCCGTGAGTGGTACAATCTGAATACAGTGTGACATGAAGCTGACCCTGGTAGCTGCCAAGCGAGCCAGTGGCACTCATGCACTATCTGTACAGTCTTCATGCACTCAGTTCGCCCCAGGGCAAACAGAGTGTGGTTGAAGCCCAACCCTGCCTTTATCTGAAGGCGGTTGGTTCAGGTACCACATTTGACATTGAGGCATCCTCCCCGCCACTGTATTCCTCCGGGGAACAGCGGCCGGATTTGCCGTGTCTAGCCCGTGCTGTACGCACGTACAGGGACAGATCAAGGGTGCTTCGTCATAATGACCAACCCCTTGTGTCCTGGGCTAACCCTTATAAGGGCAAGCCTGTTACTAAGCAACGGCTCTCCCACTGGTTTGTGGAAGCAATTGCTTTGGGGCCCATACGAATCACATTACATTACATTACATTGCATTTAGCTGACGCTTTTATCCAAAGCGACTTACAATAAGTACATTCGACCAGGAAGACACAACCTTGAAGAAAACAGAATCATATAAGTACATCAGGTTTCATAGAGCCAAACATTTCAAGTGCTACTCAACTGGCTTTAGGTAAGCCAGTCCTTTATTAGTATAAAAGTGCTTCGTTAATAGTTCTAACGCTCGAAGTGGAGTCGAAAGAGATGAGTTTTCAGTTTGCGCCGGAAGATGTGCAAGCTATCTGCCGTCCTGATGTCAATGGGGAGCTCATTCCACCATCTTGGAGCCAGGACAGCAAACCCACGTGTTTTCGCCGATGGGAACTTGGGTCCCCCTCGCAGCGAGGGCGCAACGAGTCGTTTGGCTGATGCATAGCGTAGTGCACGCGCTGGGGTGTACGGTTTAACCATGTCCTGGATGTAGGAAGGGCCAGATCCATTCGCAGCATGGTAAGCAAGTACCAGTGTCTTGAAGTGGATTCTAGCAGTTACCGGAAGCCAGTGAAGCGAGCGGAGTGGTGTGGGAGAATTTAGGAAGGTTGAAGACCAGACGAGCCGCTGCATTCTGGATGAGCTGCAGAGGTCGGATGGCACATGCAGGTAGACCAGCCAGGAGGGAGTTGCAGTAGTCTAGGCGTGAGATGACGAGAGCCTGGACCAGAACCTGAGTCGCTTTCTGAGTCAGCTGGGGACGTATCTTCCTGATGTTGTAAAGCGTGTATCTGCAGCAACGGGTTGTAGCAGCGATGTTTGCAGTGAAGGACAGGTTGTTATCTAGGGTCACACCCAGATTCCTTGCAGTCTGAGTCGGGGAAACAACTGAGGTGCCAATGTTGATTGTTAGGTCAAGAGTGGGACAATCTTTTCCCGGGAGGAAGAGCAGCTCAGTCTTGTCAAGGTTGAGCTTGAGGTGGTGAGCAGACATCCACTGAGAGATGTCAGCTAGACAAGCAGAGATGCGTGCAACGACCTGGGTCTCTGAGCGGGGAAAGGACAGAATTAATTGGGTGTCATCAGCGTAGCAGTGGTAAGAAAAACCATGCGGGCTAATGACTGATCCGAGCGAGTTTGTGTACAGGGAGAAGAGGAGGGGACCAAGAACAGAGCCCTGAGGGACCCCCGTAGTTAATTGACAAGGGTCGGACTCAGACCCTCTCCAAGTCACCCTGTAGGTACGGTCTTTCAGGTATGAGGTGAGGAGGGAAAGTGCAGAGCCTGAAACTCCAAGTTTTTGGAGAGTGCGAAGGAGGATCTGATGATTCACCGTGTCGAATGCAGCAGACAGGTCCAATAGGATGATGACAGAGGAGAGGGATGCAGTTTTGGCAGTGTGCAGTTCCTCCGTGACAGCAATGAGAGCAGTTTCTGTGGAGTGACCTGCCTTGAAACCAGACTGGTGCGGATCCAGAAGGTTGTTCTGATTGAGATAACAGGAGAGTTGTTTAAAGACAGCGCGTTCAAGTGATTTAGACAGGAACGGGAGGAGAGAGACAGGCCTGTAGTTTATAACATCAGACGGGTTGAGAGTGGGTTTCTTTAGGAGAGGGTTTACTCTTGCCTCCTTGAGACTGTTTGGAAAGTGACCAGAAGTTAGAGAAGTGTTGATGAAATGGGTGAGAAACGGTAGAATATCAGGAGCGATAGTCTGAAGGAGGTTTGAAGGGATAGGGTCCAGAGGACAGGTGGTAGGGCGGGCAGAGGTAATGAGGGTAAGAACCTCACTTGGAGAGAGAGGGGAAAAGGAGGTAAGTGTGTTGGTGGAAGGAGGGTCTGGTGACCCAGCGGTGAGTAAAGGTGAGTCAGAAAAAGAAGAGCGAATATTATCAACCTTTTTTTCAAAGTGGGTAACAAAGTCGCTTGACAGAAGTGAGGAGGGGGGAGGAGCTTTTGGAGGGTCCAACAGGGTGGAGAAGATGGAAAATAGTTTTTTAGGATTGGAATAGGAAGATTGGATCTTATCTTGAAAGAAAGTGCTTTTTGCCTGAGAGATCGAAGCAGAGAAAGAGGAGAGGAGAGCCTGATAGGTTAGGAGGTCGTCACGGTGTTTGGATTTCCACCATTTCCGCTCTGCTGCCCTAAGGACGGTTCTATTAGCACGCAGTGCATCATTTAGCCAGGGAGCAGGAGGGGACTGACGAGCCTGCCGAGATGTGAGAGGACAGAGCGAGTCCAGAGTGGATGAGAGAGTAGAGAGGAGAGTTTCTGCAGCAGAGTTTGGAGGCAGGAGATGGAACGAATCAGAGGAAGGGAGGGCTGAGAGCACCGACGAGGCAAAGCTAGAGGGGGAGAGGGAGCGAAGGTTACGGCGGACAAGTGCAGGATGAGAAGAGATTAGTTTGTTATGTTTGGAAAGGGATAGAGAGAATGAAATGAAGAAGTGATCGGATGTGTGGAGCGGGTTTACAGAGAGGTTAGAAGTAGCGCAGTTCCTTGAGAATATGAGATCAAGGACATTGCCAGCTTTATGAGTCGGTGGGGACGGAGACAGTGAGAAAGCAAAGGCGGTTAACAGAGATGTTAGTTCGTCTATCTTCCCCGTCTGGAGGTTGAAGTCTCCGAGAAGTACAGCGGGAGGGCCAGTTTCAGAATCAGAGTTCGCAGGCACCCTTGGGTCCGCGAGCTCTTTCGACTCAGGGTCTGGCTGCATCCTGGGCTCTGTCCAGGATGTCTCCCATCCAAGACATTGGTGCAGCGGCGAGCTGGTCCTCGCCGCTCACTTTTGTCCGCCTCTTAACAGGCTGGACGTTCTGCTCCCAGTGTGACTCAAGCAGTGCTGGGCACCTGGTTGAGTCAGAGCTCTACCTGTTAAGTTCTGGTTGGTTTGGTGATTTTTGAGATATGCTCGTCCGACAATACGGGAGCTACAATTTCCCATAGTGAGACATCGAACGGAGTGTTATGAATGAGAACTATAGGTTACTTACGTAACCCCAGTTCTCGGAGTGACATGAAGTGAGATGTCTCACCAGACGGCCCTCCTTGCTATGGTGAAGCGAGAAGAGGTGCTTATTTTGAATGACGCATGTGTCGTGGCGCAAGCTACTTATAGGGGGTGAATTCCATAACGCTGACGTCAAGATCCCCAGCCAATCAGGATTGGCGTAATGAGATTGATGCTTCTGTTTGCTCCGCGATGAGGCGCATCCCATAGTGAGACATCTCACTTCATGTTACTCTGAGAACTGGGGTTACGTAAGTAACCTATAGTTTTTCATCCATGTTTGACCTAAATGTCAGAAATTCATAATTGAATCCTACAAAATATTTGTATTATTATTATATTTACTAAATATTTGTGTAAAATTGTCGTTATTAGCATTTACATGTTAGAGGTCACTGTGACTTTTAATCACCAAATTTGAATGTGTTTTTTATTGTCCTTTTTTTAGGGGACATTTCTGCCAGATGTACTAAACACCCCTCAATGTGCTAATGTGTGAACACTAGCATGACAACAATCCTAAGATGGTAGACATGGTAAGCTTTATACTGAGATTTAGTTGAAAGAACTGCTGTGCCTTTATCGAGCCTCACAGAGAAGCTAGCATGCAATGGGCTCTGGTCATTTGTTATTCCAATGAACCGAGGTATCAGGATAGGCTGATCTGTAGCAGCAAAGAGGAAGTACATAAAATGATGCATAGATAAGATGAAATCAAGTAAAATACAATTTACTAGTGAAATACAAAGTTATGAGTATCTTAAGCTTGAGAGTACTATACCAACTACAAAAAGTAAAAAAAAGGAGAAGTAATAGTTAATCGGAGGGATATACATTTCAATCATTAGAACAACATTGCAGTTTATTACGCATGTTATTGGGTAGTTAGCATGGGCAGTAGTCTTTTTCATACAACTGCAGAAGGTGAAAAGATAAAATTAAGAAATAAATCCCAACTCTTATCATGCCTAATGTTTTACTGTTAAAGGCCAAACAAATCAAATGTGTGTGTGGTCATATTAACAGCACGTTTGGTATGCAGATTTCTGTATTTGTGAGATAACATTCACAATCTGTCAACTACCGTGGCTTCATGAAAGGGGGGTCTTGACTTTGGTTGATGTTTGACTATTGCAGGTAAAAGGGGAGGTTGGCCTTTTTTGCTGCTTTCATGTTGCTGTGAACACATGCAGTGTGGTATTTCTCGGTCAGCTCACAGATATTAATTAAGCATATGTAGTGAGACACATTTGAACCTGTGTGGTATTTCTGTTTTAGAGACAGAAAAATCACATAACTAGTGAAGATCTGGAGTGAAATCATGTCACAACAATCATCATCATGTACTCAAAACTCTTGCTTAGTGAATGTTAGGGATATTCTGCCTTCAACAAAAAAGCAGTGTGTGATCACCTGAATATTTCCTCAGCTGTGTCAAAGTGTTCCAGGTGGAAAGCCAGCAGACCCAGCAGATTTCGGACAGCGTACTGCAGATATCCAGCTTCAGCCTCTAGTTCCCCTCTCAGGCTCTCCTGTTTCAGGTAAGTGTCTCTGAGTCTCAGCTTCACAGGCCCCACAGGATCACAGTTGAGGCTGAGGTCCAGGTGGAAGTGGCCTGGGATGTAGTCCATGTCTTCCATCAGAGACTCGATGTCCTCTGTGCCGTCTGCCTCCATGGCGTCTAACTCCTCCTATTAAAAAAGACAAGAAATACAATAAGGAAACAGCTTTTTGTATATTTTAAGAAAATATCCAACACAATAAAATACCATGTCCTCCTTACTCTACAGTGAAATCTACTGCTACAGAAGCCACCCACCCACTCCTGACACCCAGGTATAGACAGGTTGAGCAGGTTAGGCTTGGGAGTGACTAGGGAGTGGAATAGCTGATGAAGTGGGGGTGATGTGTATAACTATGGATACATATCTATCTCTATCACTTTTTCGAAATTTCAACTTCCTCTTCCTTAAGTCTTTTCATTTTTTCCTCAATTCATAAAGAACGTTGTACAACTTTGTTGATGTTTTTTTTTACAGGATAACCAAATGACATTCCTTTAAGTCCACCCTGACAGGGTAATATTATGTTTGTCTTGAGTTTTGTGAAACATAGGTTTGAACTCTTGTTTTAGAGAATGTTCCAGTTTACCATATCTGCCCCTGCCTGTCAGCTGTAGGAAACCAAAGAATGTGAACCATCAGGATCCGTGCGACTTGGGAAAACTGTGAAGGAAACTCATGCTACAACTGTAAATTAACATTTTAACACTTACATTACAAAAATTAGTTGATTATCAATAAGTGATGCACATGTTTATATTGAAAACATCTTGTTCAGTGTTTTCACATCACAATGTTTATACAGTTAAATGGTAACATATGTATAAACATTTTCTGAGATACCCACTACTATTCACTCTGTTGATTCCTTTATACATTACATTACATGTCACATGCTGTTTTACCCAAAGCAACTTACACACACTCAATACTGTGGGCAATCCCCACAGGAGCAATTTGGGGTGAAGTGTCTTGCCCAGGGACACAGCGGCATGCTGACTGCATTGGGAATTGAACCTGCGCCTCCACTTGTCCATACAGTATGCACTCCTTTATTATGTACTTTATGCTTCTGGTCGGGAGCTTATCTTCATTTTGTTGAAATGCATGTGATGACAAATCTAATATAAACTCAAATGAAATACATGGAGCTGTATTATAAGCTGTTAATATAACTTATAAACACCTAAAAGCAAACATTAACTCTGAGTCTTCATTATACTGCAAATCATAATTATCTTAAAAAAGCAGGCACACACAACAGCACATTTTTTTTTCAGAATGCTTCTGCATAGAAGTTCAAACACTTCCACCACAGGGTAAACTTGCTTTATAATAATCCAGTATAACAAAAAGGAGAGTGGCTATGTGTTTCAAACTCGCTGTCAAATGCATAATGATGGGCATTACAGGCCCACATCAAACGTGGTTCCCAAGCAGGTTTTTGCTCTCTAACAATGCAGGGAGAATCTACACAAAGCCTCAGCACATGAGTGACTCTTTAGAGAGATAGTTCAAAGAGAGATCAGAGATCCCTCCTCTGACAGCTGAGGTGCAATACCAGCTGTAAATGGGAACAAATCGATACAAAAAAAGTCCAGGAGGATTATAGAAAGAGCATCTTGCTCATGTAAATGAAACAGTTTCCTAAAGGTTGAGCAGACTACCCGAACAGTTTGGCAGTAAAATGAAGGAGTTTGAAACAGTGGAACATTGAGAGTACTTTAATGAAAACCACACCTCAGCCATGTTAGAATAGGACTGATTCACCCGTGCTTCCCCTGGTTACTGTCAATGTGTTGCATAATGTATATTTAGTACTGCAGATTTGCCTCCTCGTTGGCAGCGTTTTCCATTGTACCATGTGGGTGTACAGAGATCTGAAAATGTTTTCCTCTTAACAACCGTTGCCATGGTGGAAACCAGGGTGATTGCATGGTAACATAATGATTACAGATGCTTGTTTTTGTGGCTGTTCTGTGCACCCTCTTATCCAAAGACAGAATTTAAGGCTCAAAAAGGATCCAGTGTGGATAATGGATTTTTAAGAACAGCAGCCAAGAGACAACACAAAGGTATTATCGGTAAAATGTTGACCCCTAATAATCCCTATAGCCGTGGCAGTACTCCCCTTTAAAGTAGGATTAGGATATGTGTCCCACATACTGATAAAGGTCTTTTTACTAACCCCTCGTTAACCTACTTCATTGTTTTGATGTCTGTCTTAATTTCTGGCACAAAGGACAGACAGTCAGAGAGGAGAATTGCCTGGTATATTGTGAACAGTATGAACGTGTGCAGAGATGGCAACCCCGCAGCATCAAAGTTCTCTGAAATCCTTCTCTGCAGAGATGTTACATTTACATTGACAGGAGCATAGCAGGGCCATTTGGGGCCCCTCACAAGATGTGACACTGAATACAAAGGATCATAGGATCACAGGAACGTCTTATTAATCCAGACTTTATAGCTTCTCATTAAACTGGCTGAGCTCTCCTAGGTTATTAATGCCATTGATAAACGATCAGTATTTTGTCTAGTAAAAAGCATTATTAAGAATGGAGGTATGCCATGTCAATCCCCCATTTAACCGTACACTGCCAAATTGTTTCCCTTATTCCCTATGCTTATTTCCTTGAGTTGTGTGCTCTTAGTTGATTAGGCCACAGATTTCTTTAGTTGATAACCTTTTTCTACCCATTCGACTTATTTCGAAGAAATGTGTGAGCACAAGATATGAAGTGGTGCTTTAATTTGTTCATTTACTTTTGGAGAATTACAGTTTAATAAAGTATTAGTTGCCTAAGAATCTCTTTAGTCTGGACTGACTGTAAAGAGCCACAGGAATGAGTGTGTGTATGTTTATTGAGTAGTGTGAAATTCTTAAAAACAGACATATCTGTCATGCTTCATTACACTGATTTGACTCTTCACCCAACTCACCTCTACAGGGACTCTGCTGGATTTAAATGTCTTCTTCTGAACAAATTGATCGGATATCCAGTTTTCAGATTTTTCCCAAATTAGCAATTTAAAAGGTTTGAGTTTAAAATCACCTGCAACAGAAGTCTATGCAATTGGAAACAGCTTAATTTGAATTGAAAGATGTATTATTGGCCGGATATATTTGCTTTACAGTAGAAATGGATGTAAGCATACCTGTTCTTGATGTTTAATTTGAAAATTAGGGCTGTAAAACTAAACTTGATTTATGATACGAATCAGAGGCTTGATTCTAACATTTGTTTACCTGTTCAGATCTGAGTTGATTGATTCCATGATGCTATGTTGGTTTAATCTGTGTGTAGTTCACAAGTCTGCTAATGATGGAACATGGGCGTTAGTAGAATAAGATAAACAATTGTACACTTTTCCACAGACAGTTTACTTTAACACAGACGTGGTATCCTCAATTTGCTGTTAAACGGCTCCATTCCATGGCTATGTGGTTGGGTAACATTAGCTATGTTTGCCAAACTTTGCCTGGCTTCTGCTATGTTTGGTAATCTTCTGTCAGAAGGTTGTTGGAGAGATCCTGAAAGCCTGTAACAATCCCCTCCTAATGATACACACAGGGAGCAACAAACACTGACCAAGTTAGCCACTTGTTCCTGGAGAACCAGTCCACATTAAAATCATTTTTTACTAGTGATGATGTTACTGCTGTACCGAAGCTTTGGAGTGTGGGTCGATTAATCCAGGAAGTTTTTTGTGCAGCGCGTATCGAAGTTTTTCCCAGTTATTCCCACAATATCCAAAAACTTTACCAAGCGGGTGCTTTTATTTTGAAATTACTACCGAGACTTCCGCTCCGCGCCTCGCCACAAGGTTAAAGAAAAAAACGAAGTTGCATTGCTGTTGCATTTCTGTTTGCCGGGTTGAGAAAGAAAAACAATGTATACGAATTTAGACGGACTGACAGACCCACTGATGTATTATTTTTGAAACTTTTGGTAGTTCAAGATAGTCAGTGTTTCTTTGTGGATGTTTTATTTTGAAGGTTGTACCGGAAGCTCTACGATATTACACACCTGACTTGACAGTCCCACTCTGCGGCTGCTGGTCGCTGTCATCATGCAGGTGGAATCTGCGCAATGTAGCTCCGCGTAGGGACCTCCAAGCAGACATATACCCGGTCTGCAGCGCTCACACACCGTACACTGGACTCTAGGGCTCTGGCTGCATTTACTAATGTGGAGGATCTATTAACAACACTCGAAACAAAACTGAACACTTTTTGTTTCTGCTTACACTTGGTGATCATCGGTTTGTTTAAAGATGCGGGCTTCATCAGTTTTTACCATACATTATAGCTAAATCAAACATTTCTTTAAGCAGTTTTCTGCTAGGATAATCACACTATGTTGTGGTGATGCTGTCAGGTTGTTTTTCTCTCATTGCGCAGTGTAACTCAGCTGGAGACGCATAGGATGCCATGCAATCCTATAGTAGGTGACTCCAAGCTTGACAGGCAAACATTTCAAAGAAACGAAAAGGACGTCCTCTTGCGGATATTGTCTGTTTAAACAAACGAACACAATGGACGAAGGCACTGCCAGCGAGACAGTCCCAGATCTGAAAGACATAGAGGTGAAAATCGGCCGGAAGACCCCCGAGGGTTTGCTCAGGTGGATGCGGGAGGAGGCGTCTTCTCACCGGGGAGATGCCAAGCTGGCCACCGCGCACGACACCAGTAAGGAGACGGGCAGGAAGAGTTTGGATGACAAGATCAGGAAATTGAAGCTGGAGATGGTGAGAGTACTCTGATCGACCGCACGCGCGTGTGTGTATGTGGGTGGGTGTACGCGTGCGCGTGTCCCAGGCTTGCGTGTCCCAGGCTTGTTTTCTAGGATGTGTCATTTAATGAAGTCCCCATCATATTGAAATATCATATTGATTAGGAATTTGAACCAGCTGCCCTGCTCCACTGGACTCTGTTGTTGTAAATATGTAAACATAAATCAGCAGATCAGTTTATCATGCGGATGGTTAATTATCCTATTTGACTCAAAAATATCTGTAAAACATTTTAAGTGACATTTTCTGACTGCAAGCATATCTTGTAAACCACGAATACCAAATGTTTTTATCTTTATATAAAATATTCCAATGATTTTCAGACTGATCCCTGACATTTCTTTTTTTCAGTTAATGAGAAGACCGAGATACGTCCTGAGAGATCATCCTATCACTGCTCTCTGGTGGACAAATTTACCCTGTTCATCTAAATGACCTCAAACCCAGTTTACCATTGTTGTAGGTTAGGCTACTGCAATTTATTTGTTTCAGAATCAGACACTTTTACTGATAGGCAAAATTATACACCAACAATCAATATGATGGCAATTAGCTCATATCGGCTTGCGTGATTTATCGGTCTTACTGTACTTACTGTACATGTGCCATAAATTAAGTTATCTATCTATGATATCAAGGTTTTTTGTTTTATCACAGTTAAGAATATTTCTATCGAGGTCACTGTATGAAATGTATCAGAGACATTTGTCATTGGATGTCTTTAATTAATATGGTTGTGGTTGGTAGAAAAGTAGTTGACCACTAAAGCCGGCTAAAAATATGATGAACTCACAGTCTGTGTTTTGACAGAGGGTTGACTCTCCAATTCCAATTCATACATTGATATAGATGTATGCTTTTTCTCAACTATGACACCAATTTGTATACATACTTGGACTTGCTTTTGGTCTGACATATTGGTACATGGATCCTTTGACGTATATATTAGTTAAAGTAATGTATTGTTTGAAAATCTCATTTTGTATTTGACATATTTAATGATTTAATTACATGAAGAAGCTTCAAAAACAAACTTTTTTCCAGCCAAGGCTGCACTGTGTTTTGACAGCAGGTTATTTCTTGTTTAGCAGTAAATTTGTTCCATAAAAAAAAAAAAGTCCCTCACTTGTTTACACATACTAAACAGTGGAGGTTCTCAGCAATAATGCACCACTAAACTGTTCTGTGATCATGTATGTCATACATTCCTGTGGTTGTAAAAAGGAGCACATGCCCCACCACCAAACTACCAAACAAAGCAGGCTGTCTTCTGAGTGAATTGCTCCAAACATTGGAAACATTCAAACATCAACATCAGTTTTTGTCACATGGTAGAAGCATAAACTAATTTCACACCAGCGTTGCAGCAATGCCAGCTGAAGCCCAGATGCTGTTTAGAGGTCTGGAGACTCCTAAAAAGGAAATAGTCTCTCTCCATTAACTTAATCAGATGCACTTTATGTAATGTGAGCTTATAGCTACCATTTGGCCTCTGTTCCAATACCTTGCATTTAAGTGGTTTACATGCATGGGCATTTCGGGCAAATATACTGCATGTCACATTGTATATCAAATGGTGTTTTATTCATTAATATGGTGATGCATAACACATTACCATAAGCGTTTTACATTTTAGCTTATTAAAACCAGGCGCCAGTGTCTAGAGAAATGTCTGTTAGTCGGCCTTTATCACCTCTTCTGTTAATATATTTCTTAATCAACATTTTTGCAATACATTATTTGTTTGTGTTGCCACCAAATTCAAGGTCCCAAAGGACTCCATTGTCAAAGGATCTTCTGCTAAATACATGTTTGTAGAGTTGGACGTCGAGCCTTTATAGTGACATCACAATTCTGAATAGGATGCATGGCATTAGTTTGGGTCCATTTAGTGACACCATCCCTCCTAGTTTTGTCAACATCAGACCAGACACTAAATTAAGTCTCAAACATTCCATGAACCTATTCATTGAATTTTTAATTTAAAAAAAAAAATGTTGATATACTTTATTAATCCCTGTGGGGAAATTGTTTCTCTGCATTTGACCCATCCTAGTGTTAGGAGCAGTGTGCTGCCATATTGAACGGCGCCCGGGGAGCAGTGTAGGGAACGGTGCCTTGCTCAGGGACACCTCGGTAGCACTTGGTCTTGCCGGGACTTGAACTGGTTGCCAAGCCAAGTCCCTATCGACTTCGCCACCACCGCCCAATATATATAGCAAATTATGACAATAATTAGGCATATCAAAGCCAACATAATTGTTGTAACAGACTCCATAGCCAGCAGTTTCCAATTTCGATTAATAAATCATCCGAGATATTGTATGAATCCGTTGAGGGCAGAGTGCCAGACTTAACAATTGTAGCTATTATTTAGGTCTGCTTCAAAGAACGGAGGACTGAGAAAGTTGTGTTAAAGAGCCACTTCCTGAAACTTCTAGCATAGAGAGAGAAAGAGAGAGTGTGTGTGGTGTGTGTGTGTGTGTGTGTGTGTGTGTGTGTGTGTGTGTGTGTGTGTGTGTGTGTGTGTGTGTGTGTGTGTGTGTGTGTGAGAGAGAGAATGTGTATGTGTGTGGTTGCTTCATTCATCTATGAGAGTGGTGAGGTGTAATGGGAGTGCAGAATCAGTGTTGTTGCACTTTCATCTGAAATCTGCTTAGTAAGATGTGCAGAGTCTCTGCAGAGTAATGCTAAATGGAAAAGCTCACATCTACGTCACACACTCATGCACGTTGCATATTTAATCTGCACGTGTTTTTCCCCCACTCTTTCTGATGCTGAATACTTTCTGTCTAACTGTATGTAATTAAGCTATAAGGCCCATATCAACATAAACACACATATGTGTATTTATTTGATTTTGTGTGTGTGTGTGTGGTCAGTTTTTAGAATCATGACTCATCTGTTACTTTACTGTAACCGCACAGCATGGTGATGGCAGACTGCAGCATCTGTCTGCTGTAAGATCGAGGATTTTTCTTTAAATGTCTGTGTGTGTATTTGTGGGCGGAGTATTATTGTGTCACCATCACTAATGATATGATGCTCTGTTTCTTGTTAACTGTCTCCACTCCATGTTACACTGAAAGAAAGACACTGCCTTCAAATGTTATTTAACTTCACACAGCAAAAACACATCCATCAACCAGTTAATAGTCAAGCTTTTAGGTTTGTACCACGAGTAATGCTATGAAGCAATTTTCAAAAAGTTTTGACCCATTTTGTTTGCGCAGGTGGTGAAATGACCTAGTGCAGGTTGCAGTATTTTCATTAATCAACATGGTGGTGGTGACAGCAAAAAACATAGCTATGCAAAAGCGACATTGGACATTTCTCTAACTATGCATGATATTCAACAATAAAAGCAGGAAACCCTTATGTATAAAAACAGAACCAGATAAGAGATCTTAGATCACACATACAGAGAGAGTACTTCATTAGTGAGAAGGCTTTCGGTTTGATCTTCTTAGCTGTCTGATATCTGGCTTTAGTCCGTCTGCTGACATATAGCCAGTAAACTGTACAGAGACACACTTTTCTGATGATTGTGACTCAGTGGTAGGGAACATTTTGCAGCACTGTGAGCTGAACTAAAATAAATATTGTTACTTAATGTTCATTGTTAATTTTAGTGTTGCTGTCGATCTCTGAGTGAGCTGTTTTACAGCTTCTGTCTTGTGCATTTGTCTCCAGCTGCCTAATGGAAGACACACTCTCCTCTGATGTAAACAGATTTACTGAATACAGAGACACTCCTTTAAAACCACATAAGACTGGCACGCACGCACACACACAACACACACACTCACTGAGTGCCTTTTGTATTGTTGTTCCTTTTATGCATGATCTCCACCTATATTTCAGCTCTCAAAGGGAGACATACAGGCTGAATAGTGTGTTATTGCTCGGGGTATGACATATTCCTTTTTAGTTCATTTCTTCTTTCTGAAGCTTTTCTATGTCGTTCTCTATCTCTGTCTTTCACCTCTGGGCAAATGACTGACATTGCAAAGTCAGCTTTAAGTGTCTAGCTGAGCTCTAGAGGATCAAAATCTCAAAGTCTGTTTAATCTCAGTCTTCTATCTGCCAACTGACTATATCCTTAAATACTTATTCTAATTAAATTGTTGACAAATGTCCTGAGACCATTACATCAATTTTTTTTTTAGGAAATGTGATTGCTGCTGGGCTATGCTCACATGTTTGTTTTTTCTAAAGGGAAGCAATACAATTGTCAGAAATGACACACAATGTCACAAAAACAGATGGAACAATGCTATGATCGACAGAGGCATGTGAGAGGAAATAAGACATCCATGTGTGGATGTTTAACAGATCATTTGAAGGTGAATGCAGACAGATGGAGCAGTTGGAGGTTTACCGTGAGACGGGGCCGACCTTCTGCTGTCTATTGAGACTGTAGGGACTCTGCAAGGTTGCCATATTTCCGCAGAGTTTGATTGGGAAGGTGAAACAACTCACTGACACCAGGGGACATGAGAGAGAGAGACCGGTGTTTATTTTGCTGGTGTACGAGGGAACGAGTGTGTGTTTGTGCTGCGCCTGCTGGCAGTGATTCAGCAGTCTGTAGCTGTGTGTCATTGGAAGGCTGTTGCCCACATGGGAGACTCTGCGTCATGCATCACAATTCAGCTGTGCATAAGTTATCACAGTGTGCCGTATCATGACTGCATCTGTGTTCAGACTCTCATAGTTAAGTCTAATAGAGAGGATGATCTGATCAGATTCACAATGCTGCTTCATTTTGCAGAATGATGAAAAAATGGTCTAACATAACACATCAAATTCAACTTAAGGCATGATTTTGGTTTATTACAAGCCAGGGTTTTATTTTTGGTGTTTTAACAGATGAGTTGTCAACAATGAAGATAGCAAGAAACACAAGCACTACGCCAAGACTCGCTGTAAAGAAGCCAACACTTATATCATCCAAG